TTCCCTGGGCGCCTCTCCTGCTTTGTTTTCCTGATGCCTGACATTTTGTCCGGCGAAGAACAGGTTTGTGAGGAGGAGGACTGGCAGGCACTGGAGGCAGGGCTGGGGGAGCGTGTGCTGCTGAGAGCAGAGACAGCTTGCAGCCGGCATCTCTGTCTGCCCCTCGAGCTGCGCCAGGAGCCTCTGCCGGGCTGCGGGCGGTGCTGAGCTCACGCCAGGCTTGCGCGGCTCTCAGCATTCCCAGGATTTCCAAGTCTCAGCCTGTTCCTGAGCCGGGCAGGCAGCGACGCTGGTGATTTCAGAGCAGCAGGAGCAAGGCCAGAGCTGGTGTTGCTGTTGTTGATCTCGTTGTTCAGATTTTCTCAGTCCTGAGTGAAGGAGTTCCAGGCTGGACCTGCCCTGGGGGCTCTCGTGCTGCTCTCAGCCAAACACGAGGCAAAACCAGCCCCCAAGTCCTTGGTTTGGGTTTCCTGCATTTCCACAAAGCTCCCAAAGCCTCATTTCTGTTCCTGCGTCTCCTGACTGTGCCCTGGCAGCCCCACGGGCTGAGGAGCACTCGGCTATGGTGAAGGATGTAAAAAGAATGGTCAAAAATAACGGTGACATTTGGCTGAGTACCAGCTCCACCAGGCCCTCGCTCACAGTGACAGCTCTTTTTGGTTGGGTTGAAATCATAAATCGTATTTGTATGGAATGGGTAAAAAACGAGGCGAATTCTCCAGTTAGATTCTGATTTTGGGGATAAATGCAATTTGTAACAAAACCAAGGTAACACAGCCAGCTCTGCACCCTGTGAAATTCCCAAATTGTGCAACGAAATCAAGGCCAGTGCTGGCAGTGCCGTGTGGGGTTTGTGGTCTCAGTCTGAAACCAGACCAAACCAAAATGAAGCTGTGCTGGTTGCCTTCACCTTCACTCAGCCACAGAGCATGAAGTAATAAAAATAAATGTCTCAATGTGCTAAAATAGGGCTGGAAATTTCCCCTGTGTTATTTGGTTATTTAAATCCACCCCCAAAGACAGTTTTTTGACTAAGAAAGTTTGCAGACGTAGAAAATTAGAAAATTCCTCTGGCGTGTGCACACCCCCCAGTCTCAGAGAGAAGGGGTTTGTTCTGGAATTTTGGTAACAGAGCAGGCAGCAAAGCTCTGCAGCAAACATACATTCATTAAGGGGCTGAATTTTTAAAACGAATTATTTGGAATACACATGATATGAAATAATGATGAGATCTTCTAATTCCTCAAACATCTGAACAGGATAAGGCCAAATTTTCAGTTTTCCTGTAGCAGACATAAAGTGACAACGTGATGGGATTTTAAACCACTCTCGAAGCGAGAAACCTTTTAACCAGGACCAACCTCCAGTGGCTCGAAATATCCAACATTATTTGTTGATTTTCACTAGGCAGTACACGAACATGACTGTTCCTAAATACAGAATAACATTTACCTCTTATGGCTCTGTGTCTCTCTCCCTCCTGCCCCGGCACTGACACAAGTGCAGGTTTGTTTGGGGCGCCAAAGGACGGATTTTAAGAGGAGGAGGGCAGGGAGAAGCTCGTTTTCCTCACCACAGAGGGTTTTTAGCAGGGCTGGTTCTGCTCCTCCCGCTGCGCTGCTGTGGGGTGGGTTCCATCCCCACGAACCCTCCTGTCCCCGCTGTCCCGGCGGGGCAGGGGGCTAAAGGCCCTTCCTGCTGCAGGGGAACTCGGGCTCCTGCAGCTCGGGCTCTGCCCCCTCGGAGAGCTGGGAGTGTGTCCTGCCAATCTCCTCCAGCGCACAGGCCAGCGAGTCCAGGTCCCCGTCGTGCTGGTGCCGTGCCTCCCACAGGTCCAGGATGACGGCGGAGGGGCTGCTCTGGGTGGCGAAGAAGGAGAGGTTCCTGCAGGGACAGGAGGGAAAAGGGTGAGGAAAAGGAGAGGTTCCTGCAGGGAAAGGGTGAGGAAAAGGAGAGGTTCCTGCAGGGACAGGAGGGAAAAGGGTGAGGAAAAGGAGAGGTTCCTGCAGGGAAAGGGTGAGGAAAAAGGAGAGATTCCTGCAGGGAAAGGGTGAGGAAAAATGAGAGGTTCCTGCAGGGACAGGAGGGAAAAGGGTGAGGAAAATGAGAGGTTCCTGCAGGGAAAGGGTGAGGAAAAATGAGAGGTTCCTGCAGGGACAGGAGGGAAAAGGGTGAGGAAAAGGAGAGATTCCTGCAGGGAAAGGGTGAGGAAAAAGGAGAGATTCCTGCAGGGAAAGGGTGACGAAAAATGAGAGATTCCTGCAGGGAAAGGAGGGAAAAGGGTGACGAAGAACGAGAGATTCCTGCAGGGAAAGGGTGAGGAAAAATGAGAGATTCCTGCAGAGAAAGGAGGGAAAAGGGTGAGGAAAATGAGAGATTCCTTCAGGGAAAGGAGGGAAAAGGGTGAGGAAAATGAGAAGTTCCTGCAGAGACAGGAGGGAAAAGGGTGAGGAAAATGAGAGATTCCTGCAGGGAAAGGAGGGAAAAGGGTGAGGAAAATGAGGTTCCTGCAGGGAAAGGGTGAGGAAAAATGAGAGATTCCTGCAGGGACAGGAGGGAAAAGGGTGAGGAAGGAGGAGAGATTCCTGCAGGGACAGGAGGAAAAAGGGTGAGGAAAAACGAGAGATTCCTGCAGGGAAAGGAGGAAAGGGAGAGGAAGATACAGCAAGGAAAGCAAAGGAAAAGGGTGAGGATTGAGGAGAGATTCCTGCAGGGAAAGAGGAAAAAGGATGAGGAAAAATGAGATATTTCTGCAGGAAAAGGAGGGAAAAGGGTGAGGAGAAATGAGAGATTCCTGCAGGGAAAGGAGTAAAAAGGGGATGAGAAGCAGCCTGGGTTGCAGCTGTGCCCTGTGCCCAGCATGATCCACGAGTTTGGAAAATAAAACCCCTCCAGCAGGACAAATCCCTCCTGGGAAGCATCTCCAGGAAATGCAGCAAGGATTTGCCAGGGAGAGGAATTCCAGCAGTTGATGCTTGTGGTTGTGCAAAGACACAGCACCTTTTATCCGAGCCTTTCTGTTTGTTATTTTGTGCCATTTTTAGGACTCTGCAGGTGTGATTTACACAGAATTTGGTAAAGCAAAGTGTTTATCCAAAACTCTTTTTCCTTTGGTTCAGATGTGGTTTATTGAGGCTCCCACGCAAAGCAGGGAGCCAATGGAAAGTTACTTTGCTTGATTTAAGTATTCCTCTGTTCTCCTGGGAATGCATTTATAGAGTTTGTGACAATCAGAAAATATTTTTGTGAGGAAGCTGCCTCCGCCAATTTAATTTAGCCAAGCAGAAAAAGCAAAGTAAGAAGTAAATTGGTTTTTACAGCATCTTTCAGTTTTAATAATCATAATATTATTACTCCTAACAGTAGAGCATGACTGTCTCTTTTAAAGATGTCTTTCCCTTAAACAAAAAAAAATCTGCAGGATTCATTTTGGAATAGGAAATGCACCCGTGAGAGCCAAGGGGATTTGTCTGGGGGAATGTGCAGCCTCCAAAGGGCTTTGAACCACTGTTCAGTGATGGACAAAATCCTCCTGCGGGTGGACACAAGGACGAGGAGCTGAAAGGAGGAGTGAGCCCCACTCAGCCCCTAATTCCCACCCACACCCCTGGCTCCACAGCAAACCAGCAACCCCAGAACGGCCAAAAATGCCCGTTCCAGGTGCCAAAGCCCTGCCGGGGCGCTGCCATCACCTGCTGATGCTGTTCTTCTGGGCCAGCATCTGCCAGTCCTTGCCCCTGGCGCTGGGCGCGTCGAAGGTGGCGCAGATGCGCTGCCGGATGGAGCGCGGGATCTTGAAGGCCTTGGGGCCCAGCTGGGCGGGGAAGGCGCTGTCCTCATGGCCAAAGAAGGTGATGTTTTCTCTCTCAGTCTGCAGGGAAAGGAGAATCAAACCTCCTCAGATCGCTGCCGTCGCTTGAACTGACTACAGAAAATGGCTGAGCTAAGAGCAGCTTTTGTGAATTGTGAAAGAGGACCTGGAAGATGTTCCTTCAACATCACAAGGACTTGTGCAGAATAATCTTTAAAATGGTGGTTTTCCCTTGCACGAGTTTTATTTTTTGGGGATTTTTCTGTTACAGATCAGTGCTGGGTTTCTAAATCATTCATTGCTTAAACCCGGAACATGGACACAGAAATCTGTGTTTGTTTCTCTCTCTGGGTTTTTCAAACACCTGAATTCCGTAAGCTCTCCCAGCCTCTCTGGAATGGAGGTCCTTTGTGGATCTGGCCCCTCTTTTCCCGCGGAATCACACCAGCCTTGCATAACACAGTCAAATTTCAGTGCATTACTCATCCCAGAGTGACACAGCATCAATATTAAGCAGCAGCGATGGTGCAGCCTCCATCCACCATTTGTGACAGGTCCCCGGGGCCAGCCGGGCTCAGCACCAGGGGCTGCAGCTCTGCCCCGGGCTCTGCTCAAGATGCAGAGCAGGAGAAGCTCCAGCCCTGCACGTGTGAGATAAGCACAGCGACCCGGGCGCTGCGGGGATTGTCACGCACGGAGCGGCTCGGGGGGGGAGTTGTCACTCACAGATTTATTTTGCAGTCAAATTATCCTCCCTCTTCAATCACTGCTGGAGATAGGCATGAGAAAACCTTCCACAGCAGCAAATCTGCTTGAAGCAGAACGGGAACATGCTCTGGGGACTTGTGTACAGACAGGGCCCTTAAAAACCCAGCGGAGAGGGAGAACAAGGCAGCAGCAACACGGGCAGGAGACACGGAGAGTGACAGAGGGGTTTTGTGAAATGACAGGAAAGGAGCAGAAAACACTCGGCCAGCCTGAGGAGTGTTTACACAAGATGATGTTCGTGCTGCTCCTGTCCAGCTGCTGCAATCCCTGCTCAGAGCACTTAGGGGTGCAGAGCTCTAATCCAGAAGTATTAATCTGGATTAATCAACAAAGATGCTCAATAATCTAAAAAAAGGCAGCTGCTGAAGTTCTCATGGCTGTGGGAGGCATCAGCAGCTTGCTCAGCTGATTCCTTTTAGCCATTTGGTTGGTCTGATTTCTTCTGGCCATAAGGTAAAATTTCTGATTTTAGGTCTGATTTCTTTTAGCCATGAGCATGAGTTCGTACCCTCTCCCCAAGCCTCAGTGCTCTGCAAGGGCTTCTTGCTAGGAAACTGCAGCCACCAACCCCAACAACAAATTATGAAATTATCAATAATTATCGTCAGTGCTGCACAGTCTCTGTGCCCTGATTTCTGCTGGAAATGGGATCTGCAAGGCTTTAGAGACTGGCTCCAGCTTTGAGCAAAACCTACGGGGAAAGGACAAATCCGGGGAGGGAAGCGGCACGCAGAGAGGTGGTGCCCCATCCCTGGAGGGGTCCAAGGGGTGGGACCATGCAAGGTGGCCCTGCCCATGGCAGGGGTGGGACTGGATGGGCTTTAAGGTCCTGCCAAGCCAACCCAACTCAATCCAACAGAACTCAACTCAACTCAACCCAACCCAACCCAACCCAACCCAACCCAACCCAAATCAACGCAATTCAACCCAAGCCAACCCAACTCAACTCAACCCAACTCAATCCAACCCAACTCAACCCAAGCCAAACCAACTCAGCCCAACTCAATGCAACTCAAGCCAAGCCAACCCAACTCAACCCACCCCACCCCAGGATTCCGTTCCACGACCATCCCGCCCTGCAGACCAGGGGCTGTACCTCGAGGACGGAGGTCTGGATGTGCAGCAGCTGCTCGTGGCCCTGCAGCTGCCTGACGCACACGGTGCAGCACAGCTGGGTGGTGGCGGGGCTGAAGCGCTCCAGGGAGAAGGCGCCGAGCAGGGGCCGGGGGCTGCCGCGCCACACGCGGGAGAATGGCACCTCCTGTGGGATGGGGACACGTCAGGGACAGGGGACATGGCCGGGGGGACACACCCACTCCTGCTCTGCTGGGGCGAGCACAGTAACTCCCCTCCAGCTCTGAGAAAAGCCAAAAAATGACAATTGCGTTGATGGACGCTGAGGTGTGGCAGTGACTGAGAGCTCAACGGAACAAGTAATGGGAGACTCTTAAAAAA